TGCATTTTCATTTATATTATATTTTTTAGCCTATACCAGTACATTTGCACATACCGAGACAAATTTACGGCCAAGATGGTAAAATGGACATAAAATGCTGTGGATCCCAAGGTTTGTTTTTTGTTGAAAGGACGAAATGGCTCTTCTTAACATTTGGGTTAACTGATCATCTAGCATAGCTGACCTTGTGAATGAATGCAATCAAATCCTCACCGCAATGTTCCAACATGTAGTGTAGAGCCTTCTCAGATAAGCAGAGGCTGTTACTGCAGCAAAGAAAGACAAAATCCTTATTAATACCCTTGATTTCAGAAGAAATGCTGGATGAGCAGGTGTCTACAAACTTTTGGACAAGTAGTGTATCAATAACTTTACTTCAGGCAAGACATTCTTGTTGCTTTTTACAGCATTGATGTGTATTTATATTTATTCTAATGTTATATAATGTTTTCACTAGCATTAAACACACTATACTAGTTTCCCTGGCTGGCCCAAAGCTATTGCGCAGTATATCACCTCTCAGATGTGAAAGCCTGAAGTGCTTTATGATGCACACTGTTAGACTAAACCTCCCGCACATAGCGTGCAGATTTGAAGAGCATTTATCTGCTAGACACCTTGTCAGAGTAAACTCCCCTCAGGAGAGACTGGAGGAGTGTTGTGTCAAGAAGTCGAGATCAAGGCCGTGTGTGTGTGTGTATGTGTACATGAGTCTGCTCTACAGAGTAAAGCTCTTCTCTGAGCCCTGCTGGCTGGGCCGTGGGCTCAACAGAGCGTTCCTCATCCCAGAATAGAATATCTAATGGACGTGTTGAACAGACTGACATCAGATACTAAACAAATAGATATTACTGGGCTGATAGTGTTGTTTAACCCTTTCAGGTCGCCCTAGACAGAAATGGCTCTTCTGTTTAAGTGTTGTTTAATTACTCCTCACTTGTGTGTCATTTAAACAAGCGGAGAGGTTCTGTGGAAAGTGCAGATTCCAGACTTTCAGTTGATACAACATTTGTAAGTAGAAGAAGAGATATTTTATTAAGATTGAAAATTGATGGAAAGAAAAAAAAAACATTCTCTTTAAGTTTTTGTTATTCAGTGATGAATTGTGACTATTAGAGCATTTTGGCCAAAAACAAAAAGGTTAAATTGGCCAATCAGGAATCATTTTTCTCCATGTTGTCTAGGTGGATATAGTTAAGCAAGCTCTCCTATTGGTTATGACTTCAGAAACTGTAGAGAAGTCCTCACTAACCGGCTCATGGAAACCTTGAAAGTGACTGGTCAAAATCTGTGCTTAAAACATTAAAAGACATACCATCACTCGTAGCAACTCTTAATGTTGTTTATGATGTGTTTGATGGGGGACCTTAAGTGTAAAGCCAGAGAACTTTTAAGCCTTTCAGGCCGTATTACAGAAACGTCTATCTATTTTGTCTTAAGTTAAGATCTGACAGGTCAGGATAAGAGTTCAGATTACAGAAGCAAATCTTATCTTGATTTAGAAATCTTATCTTATCTTACAGCATCTTATCTCAAGTTAAGAAATCCAAACTTACTCGATCGTAGTTGACAATCAACTGTCATGCCTGTTTCCTAGGAACCGACCATACACACACAGCTGAAACGTAAACATGTAATCAAAGTAATGAAGTTAGTTAACCAGACAGCTCGCGTAAGCTACTGTTACTGATACAAAATAGGTCAAACAAAACTAAATAAACCTGGAGTTAAGAATATTGTGGCAGCGCTTCATGCTTTTTATCAGAGTGTGGCCGAGTGTGCTAACATTATTCCTCCTAATAAACAGACACATGTTCAGCTCTGTCTCCTCATTATTCACCACCACCACTGTAATCATCAGCATTAACATACGGAGGTAATAAGAGGGGATGGTAGAGTTTGTGTCTGCAGCGTCTGGGGTTTTAAAACACTGTTAGAAAAAACCTCATAAGTCAAAGCATAATTTTCAGTGTAGATAAACCTAACATCATTATGCTAGTTACAGTGAACTGTGCTGCTTGTCACTACATAAAACAATACAAGCAGGCCTTTAAAACAGACGTTAAGACTCTTCTGGGATTGTCTTAAAGTTAAGACAAAATTTATGAAATTCTGTCTAGTTAGGATGTTTCTGTAATACTGTTTTCTCATCTGGAGTTAATGGACAAGATTATAAACTTCAGAACTGTTGTTCCTTAATAGCTTCTGTCCTAAATTCAGTCTTAACTGAAGTTGTCATGGTGACTAAGCAGATAAGATAAGATTTCAGACCTAAGAAGCTTCTGTCATATCGCTCCTGGTTCCAATAAGTAATCATTGGGGAGAGTCATATACAGTTGAGTCATAATTATTGGGAGGGCTGTAACCTCCCTGGAAATTAAGGCGGTGATTGCACTAGTATGAGTGACTCTGACACTGCAGTGTTGCTGGAGGTTTTACGTATATCACTGTCACTGCTAGGTTGAAAGTGGACCGTCAACCAAAAATATCCAACCCAGAGTGGCTCTTTGGTGACTCTTCTTCAGCTCAAATACTCTGTGGTCAGTATGTAAGTATGGTAGGATTGCGCTGTTGTAGGTGGCTGAGTATGCCTTCTTTGAAACAGCGCGTCGAAACTGATCCGAAGCCATATGTACTAAACCGCTGGAGTGAGGCCCTCATAAGGATCTGATCAAAAACAAACAACCTTTCATTGCAATCCATTTTTTGGAAATGAGCCATTAGGACCTGAGGGAAGCAGCTGTGGTTTTATATATAGGCTTTCATTTTTGAGGAGCTGCAGAAAAAGAGGCTGCTTGTGGTTGGGCGTAAGAGAGGCTGGCTGCCTTCTTTCTGCAGTAGCCAATAAATAAGGGGAGTGGGGAAATAAAACTGGTCCCCTCCCCCATGAATTCAGCCTGGAACCGTCCCAGCAGGGAATTTTGTGGAAGTTTCTGGAAGGAGCGGTTGCCAGTGGGATAGACCTGGATTCGTTATTTGTGTCATCTGAGGAGGCCATTACGTGACATCAGCTGACCTCCATCGTCCTCCCAATTCCCACCTGGCCAATAAATATCATGCCAGAGGTTAATTTGGAGGCCGTTAGTATGTTTGTGTTAAGGGGGTTGGACTGATAAGTGTTTCAGCACATGGATATGGGTGAATGTGGGGGTAGGACAGAAAGCGAGAAAGAAGGGGAGAGAGCGTGAAACTGTATCTTCAAAGTCTGTTTTAAAAATGAATATTTATAGTTTGGCCGAGGAGGGTGTAACTTCATCGTGGGAAGAGTGTCTTCAAACTCGTAAAGGAAAGCATCTCCACTTTCCATCGCTCCCGAATTCTTCTGGTATTTTGTGTTTTCTTTGCTTCACACTTTTCTGAAGCGTATGACCAGGTGGCCTGTCATATTTGTTCTCTGTGGTGTTGGGGTACAGACATATTTCCTGCTTTTCAAACAGAAAAGGGACCCCCATTCCCATCAGCTCGAAGGCCTTGTGGTCAGCAATGAAAAACAGACCGGCCAAGTTTGATATTTCAGCTTTCACACACGCTTGTGTGTGAATAGGTGGTGCTTTTACCAACGTTTACTTTGTTGGAACAGTTCTGAGCTGGTTTATGATTTCAAGTGCCGGCCTGGTGTTATACAGTGCTGTGCGAAAAGCAAAACCACCCTTCATTTATTGAATTTCCAGTCATAATGGCCATTAAGTACAAGGTGTTCAGATACTTCAGATACTTCACTTGCATGAAGAAGGGGAAAGTCTAAGGAAAATCAGTGAACAGTTTCCAAAACTGGAGTTCAAAAAAATTATTAAAAGAAAAAAGAGAAAATGGGACTCCTAACAACCATGCAAGACCTGGTTGACCACCAAAACTGTCACCTTCAGATACACAGTGTTGGAGGAGAAAGAGAAGTTTTAGGATATAACTCAAGCACATCTGAAACAGCTTAGAAACCTTTCATTCGGTTATTGGAGAATATGTGAACGAGAGAGACAGCCTATCTCATCACATGATAAAACAGTGTAGGTGTTGTGCAATGTTAAAAGTAGTTAAACAGAACCTAAAACTTTCATCTTTTAGAAAAAATCAAGCTGCTTCAGATCTGAAAAAAATCCAAGGTGTTTCTGTCCATCCTTCCACTCTGAGAAGACCATGTGCTATGGGTCTGAAAGGATGTGTAGCTGTCAAGAAGCCTTTACTGACAAATGAGAAGACTTTTTATAAATCAAACAAAGAATTCTGTACCTTGAACTCCACTTATTTGTCTGGGTCTTTTGGAAGGCTGTGATGACAGACTTGCTTCGCAACAGATACAAACCAAACAAAATGTTTAATTATTCCACTCAAATAGCTCTGCTAAACTGCTATAGGTTAAATGGGATGTATATCGCTGCTGCCGGAAGAAAACCTCATATCTCCATTTTTGTTGTTTTTCAGTTTTTGTCATAATTTGAAAGTGCCTGTTGCCCTTTACATTGTCTGTAAATTTCATGATGAACAGACCAAATGAAACAGCCCAAAATTAATTGGAAAAAATTCTGGTTCATTAAAAGTACAGTAGGTTTTTCCTTCTCCTGTAAAGTTATGATGTTGGAGATACGAGGTTTTCTTCTGACAACAGCGATATGTAAATGTGTTCATTGGTCATGACATGGTGAATTCGTGGGAAATCCACCCAGGCTGTTTTTTGCAGCATTGTTTAAGAGTGTGGTCTGTATGGACTGGGGAGTGAATGCTAGGTTTTGAAACCTTAGCTATGTTCTTTATTTCCCGAAAATGTGATATGGGCACTTCAACTGTATATTCTTAAACCTTTCCCTCATGTTTTAATTCTGCTCTAGATGTGTAATAGTCAGCAAAAAATGTTCCACTCAACAAACTATCACACACTGTCTTTCTGAATGAATCTCTTTCTAAAACTGTTTTCCAGTCGTCCTCCTGTCTCTGACCTTCTGACCCCACAACCTCATAAATGTCCCACTGATTCCACTTCTCAACTGTGTGTCTTGTCTCCACAGGGACCTCAGGAATAACTTGATCAGCACCATAATGCCTGGAGCCTTCCAGAGTCTGACAGCGCTGCGGAAACTGTGAGTGATATTTCAGTCAAACTGACAGCCTTGTTCCCCCTAACCCAGCAAAGAAATCAGAACCATTTATTTTCTCCAGTTATGATGATGTGTGCAAGTACAGCTCATTTACACTGAATGCAGAAACGTCTAACAACACTGCTGTAAAAATTTAGAGGACGGTCTTTTCAGATCTTTTAATATTAGTAATATTAGAGTCTTGTCATTATTCAGAGATAAAAACGATGTTTGGAATGATTTTCTATATATTCTAAAAACAAAAACAGATATTGCATTGTGTCACTTTAAACAGATAATTGTAAACATGCTATGTTGTATCTGATGGTGGTGTCATCATAGTCTCTAGAGTGAGATTGAGATTGAAGTGAACACACCTAAACAACTCACCTACATATGACAAATTTTAGTGCATAATTTTTATTTTATTGCTGATTTTAACATAGTGGAAAACAATAAATCATAAAATATAAAATGTGCCACAACTTCTGCACAGGCCACATTTTATGTTGTATTTTTCCCCAATATGTTATATTCAGCAAATAAACAGTAATTGAGTATTAAAGTGTGCAGACATATGTTCTCTATAGAACAGGGGCCAGCAACATGCAGCTTTTTACTGCCCACAGCAGAATTAGATTTTTAGGTAAAAATAAAATGATCCTCCTTTGCAGTAAAATAAAGCTCTGCTGATCATTCAAACACAGTTTAACAATAAACTGTCTCAAACGCTGGGGTTAATGTAGAACTGCTAATGTACCCTTTAACCCAGAAGATTGATGCACAGATTGCTGGTCACCATAGCAATGCAGACAACAATCTCGCCTGGCTAGTAGCTAACGAAAAGGCAAAGAGAAAGATTTAAGATGAACATTGATAATTTGGAGACGAATGGACTCATTTACATTTAGAATCAATCCAGCTTCTGATACATTTAATCTGCAACAAGAAACTGTCAAACACTAAAAAGTCACAAAGCTGAAATCAGCTGCTTGTTCACTAGCTTCCTGTTCTAATTTTGAAAAAGAAGCTGGTGAATGGGAAGCTGACTTCAGCCTTATAAAAAATCAAACGTTGAGAGATATTTTACAAGAAACTATTCTACTTTTGAGGAAAAGTTTCCTGCTAGAGATGTGAGAGCTATGAAGCAGCTATAGCTGAGCTAAAGCTTTAAGCAGTAGGTCTGCGTTTTCGTTTATTTTTATAGCCTATACTAGTACATTTGCACATACTGAGACATATTTACAGCCAAGATGGTAAAATGGACATAAAATGTTGAGGCTCCCGAGGTGGTTAGATTTTTGCTGAAAGGACAAAACGGCTCTTCTTAACATTTGGGTTGCCAACTCCTGCTGTAGAGGATGTATTCGCTTACTTTCACTTAGAAAATTAACAAAACAATATAATTTAACCAGGGGCGCCCAAACTTTTGCATAGAACTGTATCTTGAAGGTTTAAGGAAATGAAAAGAAAAACTACAACTGCTTTGGGGGGTTTTTATCCTGTTAGCTGGTGAGTGCAGAAGGAACCCTGTTGAAAAGGCCAGCACAGACCAGTATGAATTCAGTGCTTGTCTACGCTGCTTTATGCTAGTCTAATGCTGGTCTAATGCTGGTCTAGTTCTGTTTTAGCTGGATACCTAGCAAGGTCATGCTACTTGACCAGCACTCAAAACACAACATATGCTGTTTTTTTCAACAGGGAAGGCGTTGAGAGAATGTTACTGCTAGGAAGTTGAATAAGCCAGCAAGCTCGCTGCCTGGCTATCTAGATGCCATACCTAGATACCTACATTCTCTGTCTGAAAGTGTAAAAAACTTAACTCTGGCAACCTTTTTGTGCTGAATAATGATATAATCACTGTGTTATGATAGAATCACACTGTTTTCTTCATGAATTTGTTGAGCGACTGAGGTAGGAGATGCACTAATGTTAGCTTGGTTGTATTTACTAGCCTATAGCTCAGTGGCTAGGCTAGCAGTGAAGACTGGTTGACACCACAAGGATTCCCAGTGGTTGTGTTATGGATTTGCCAAATGCATGATGGAGATTGTAGTGAAAAAAACACTGATAAAAAAAGAAGAAAATAATATAAAATTGTGAATTCTGCTAAACTGGGTAAGGCTGAGGAATGTAATTCTGTGGTAAAGAATACTGCATAATATGAAATATAGCATATTAACTAGTAGGCTTCAGGCTGAAATGCTATCATTTCCATATAAACTGTAATCGGGTTCTTTTACTCACAGAAAGCAAAGCTCAGAACTCATTTTGACAGATCAAAGGTGACATTTAACATCTGAGCACAGTGAGCTTATTTTATATCACACATGAGTCAAGCTAACACAGACATGGGAAGAGGGTTTGGTGTGTGGTGACCAAGATTAGATCTAAGACCGGAGCTGACTGGACTAAGTACACGACTGTTTCCAATCATTCTGAGAGCAGCTATGGTGAGGCAGAAGCTCCAGCCTGTTGTCGTGGGAACCGCAGGGCCCTGCAGAGGTCTCTGGGGCGGCACTGGAAGTGACAGTGGGACGGTTGCTAACCACTCGCTGGTCTTTCATTGTGATTTAAAACGACCGCAAGCTGTGGTCATGATGTGGTCTGTTCTTAAGAGCATCCCAAGAGGGAGCCTGTTTGAGTGGAGATTTGAGTTCAGCAAAGGAATTTTAAATGGTTATATGATGGCAGAGATGGCAGTGCCAGCCTTAAAGAAAACAAATTTACACAGTTTTTCTTTCACCATAAAAAAAGTAGTCCATTAGCCCCGTTTCTCTGGTTGAAAGTGTCCTGTCTCTGGTGTCCATTTTGTTCTGAATAAAAATAGTCACTGTTTTCTTTACAACTGTGTTTGACAACTGAGAATTGAGGCTACAATGCTAATGTAGCTAATAACCCAGCTGAAAAAACAGCACAAACTAGCATGAATACCATGGTTTATGCTGGTTTATGCTGGTTTAGCACGTCACCCCACATGGTCATGCTGGTTGACCATCATACCAGCATCCGAAACACAACATATGCTGGTTTTGCTGGTGACCAGCTATGTTAGTCCAACATATGCTGGTTACGCTAGCGAGGAAGAAATAGAGCCATATATACATTAGCTTTGTGCTAACTCCATGCCTAAATCATTACATTTTTGCCTCGAAGTTGTTAAGGTAGTCATACAGGCTTGTGTTTTTGTTGGTTCTGACACTGTATAACACACTATTATCTATCAGAATGGAAAAAAGTATGTTGCATAGCTAAAAACAATAGCAAAAGCTGTAACTGTTAGCTCTGTTGTTATTGATAACAGTATTTCATACAGTGTCAGATCCCAAATAACAAGAGGATAGTGGGCCACTGTTGGCCTGCTGACGGCAAAGCTGGCGAACTACTGACTCTTTGCACAGCGTTTTACGGGTTGCCCTCAAAATGCCTCTTTTTATCACTCATTTTCTACTCCCAGTCCAATTTTCTTATTTTTTCTTCATTTATTTTTTCGTTATCCTAGTAAATTAGTGTAAAAAATTATTTTAATAGCAATATCATAAAGCCTGTTATACATCTGTAACCAATCAAGCACAGTGTCAGCAACATTTTGATAAAATCGTTTGATTTTAGGCCTTGTCATTCATTTTCTTTTTCTCAGTAGTTTGTGATATTTGTCCTAGTTTATTTTTCAAAATAAACGTCTGTGTGTATTAAAAATCTATTTGAAAACTAGTTAGTTAAAAACTAGTTAGACCTTGTATGCAGGACAGTAATCTGGGGTGGATCAGCAGTGGCAAACAGTGGCAAATCAGTCAGTGGGGGTCAACCTTATGGAGTCAATGGACTGATATATGCTTGCTATCTAGAAAACCACGTAAGCAGGTCTATTTGGCATTACTTAACAACTTTACATAGAGTATTCCTACCTGTTAGCTACATTAGCATTGTAGCTCCTGTATAAAACTAAAGAGGGAAGTTTCGGATACTAAACATGTCTGGCTGATTGAACATTTGGGCCCAATATGGGCTCCATATATCGCACTTCAGTAAGCCTAGTTTACGTAAAGATATTTCCACTGATTTTTAAAAATTTGAGCAAATTTAGTCGTTGAAATGTGAGCTTAGTAATTCAGAAAGGTTTCAACTGAAATGGTGTAGAGATATTTACCAAGTCAGATTACAGAGTTTGTTTGGGTTCTATTGTTCTGTACACCCAGCATGTACCTCTCCTCCATGAATGGATTTAAAAATTATGTTTTAGGCCAAAAGCATTTCTCAGAACTATCTTAAAACAAGGTATCATGTAGTGTATTTGGAACCATTTTGTGTAATAGCATTATGGGAGCTACCTCTTAGAGGCATTGGTATGTCATTGTAAACAATTATGACTCACTAATGGATAATTTCACACCAAACCACTTTGAATGGGTTTGTGTACATTGTAAACATGTAATAATGCCATTTTACTCTTCTCCAATGCTTTGTCCCTTTCTCCCTTACACAGCCTCACACTCTCTTTCTATCTCTCGCACTGTGTTTTGTCAGAGATGGATCCGTAGGCTTGTCTAAATAAACACCCAGCGATAGAGCCACGCTCTGGGTAGATCAGTTATAATAGCAGTGAATGGACAGAAGGACGTGAGTGTAATCCATAGCAAGTCAAAGCAGAGGCTGACACAAGCGCCCCTCTCCAGTATTCTTTAATGGGGCCCTGTCTCGTCTTGTTTGGGTTAGTTTATGATGAGTTTATAGTAGCCTGTATGTTTTACATGTTGCTTGTACTCTAAGCTTTTTAGAGGATGTTTTCAGTGTGTGCTTTCAGCTCTGCTAAAGCCTACTGCCAAACTGCCAGATGGCGATAGTGGTGGCTGTGTGGAGAAGTGCATCTGGCTGGACTGCTGTATTAAATTGTCCCATTTGTTGCTGTTTACAGTGACCTGTCCAACAACCGGATTGGCTGCCTGACTCCAGAGATGTTCCAGGGACTTACCAACCTCACCAAACTGTAAGTCGCTGCTTTCTTGTGGTGACATATTGTAGCTGTTTGTAAGAAAATCTTGTATCTCTGACAGTTTATAGACGGACGATAGACAGATCTATCATTGTACAATTCAGCAGTAAATTTGGACTGTTTTAATTTGTCCATTCATCATGAAAAATGGGCAGTCTGTATTTCTAAAATGAAAAATTACAGAGTGCCTATTAACAAAAATAAAATGCGGTCACAATTTATCAAGGGGTGGAAATTAGATAATTAAGTCATAGCCATATGTAGTAATGCATGGGAACGAGTTAACTAAGTTAAAGCCAGGACTTAGTCACGTGTTCAAATAAGATAGTTAAGTCAAAGCCATGATTTAGGAAGGCGCAGCACTGAGATAATGAAGTCATAGCCTTAGTAAGGTGTTGGAACGAGATAATTAAGCCATTACCTAGTAAGAGATGTGAATCTTGGACAATAAAGAAGCGAGACAGGACAAATGAAGATGCCTTTAAACTTTAGTGTTTTGATGAAGACTTTTGAGAATTCTTTGCACGACAAAGAAAACAAACAAATGAATTCCTGAAGAAATCAAGCTTCATCTCTCACTCGATGCACAGCTCACCAAATAAAATCTTATTTTGGACATTTTCTGAGAAGAACCAGTTATTTGGAAAAGACTGTTATGCTTAAAAGAGTTGAAGGTAAAAGAGGAAGAGGATGAACTTAGCTAGTCATAGCTATAACTTAATAAGGTGTAGGGACGAGTTAATTAAGTCATAGCCACAGCTTAGTAAGATGTGGGAATGAGATAATTAGGTCATAGCCACAACTTAGTAAGGCATAGGGACAAGCTAAGCCACAGCGTTGACTTAGTACTGTGTAAATATGAGTTAATTAAGTCATGATAATTAAGTTGTGACCATGACTTAGTAAGGTATGGGAATGAGAAGATTAAGTCATAGCCACCACTTAGTAAGATGTGGAAATAAGACAATGAAGTCATAACCACGACATTGTAAGATGTAGGAATGAGATAATTAAGTCATAGCCACCACTTAATAAGGCATAGGACTGAGATAATTAAGTCATAGCCACACCTTAGTAAGGTATAGGAATGAGATTATTAGGTCATAGCCACAACTTAGTAGAATGTGGGAATGAGATAATTAAGTCATAGCCACAACTTAGTAGAATGTGGGAACGAGATAATTAAGTAATAGCCACAACTTAGTAGGATGTGGGAATGAGATAATTAAGTCATAGCCACAACTTAGTAAGGTATAGGAATGAGATTATTAGGTCATAGCCACAACTTAGTAGAATGTGGGAACGAGATAATTAAGTAATAGCCACAACTTAGTAGGATGTGGGAATGAGATAATTAAGTCATAGCCACAACTTAGTAGAATGTGGGAACGAGATAATTAAGTAATAGCCACAACTTAGTAGGATGTGGGAATGAGATAATTAAGTCATAGCCACAACTTAGTAGGATGTGGGAATGAGATTATTAAATCATAGCTACAACTTAGTAAGGCATAGGAGCAAAATAATTAAGTCATAGCCATGAGTTAGTAAGGTGTGGGAATGAGATCATTAAGTCATAGGAACAAGATAATTAAGTAATGATAATTAAGTTGTGGCCAGTTGTGGGTTCAAGATAATTATCTCATGTCTGACTGACAACTGGCCAGGAGTCACACGGTTATGAGTGACGGTGTCATATCCTGCATTAATTTCCTGAATTTTGTTCTTGTCCCTCAGTAACATCTCGGGCAACATCTTCTCCTCACTGGAGCCCAGCATCTTCCAGGAGCTTCCCTCTTTAAAGCTGGTGTGAGTAAGAAAAGGATATTTGAAATGTATTCTAATGTCACTGAAACCTGGAGGACTACTCAAATGAAAAAATATGTGTTATCAGGGAAATAGCAAAAGAATTATCTCACATTTCTCTACACGTAGCCGTGCAGTCAAAGTTTAGACTTAATCGTGCCGATCTAGTGTAAAGTTCCACCAGTGCTAAAAAATGCCATTTGTTTAAGAGCAAACTCCAATCCTGGATTAGCTCGACGCTCAGAGACGTCTGATAAATATTACGGAAAGTATGTGTGTGAGTCTGTTCCATGATGTTAATTCCCAGCTGTGGTTTAACTCATAGAAAGGAAAAGCTGGTTCTTTGTCAGGTATGACGGGTTAATCCCGTAATGTGACTATGGAGGATATGGCTGATATCTAGCCCAGTCTCCTGAGCCATTAGAGTGAAAGTGTACACTCTGCACAGGGACTACGAGCATGATAGATTATCATCTCTCATAGCCAGAGGGTCACCAAAGAGCACCAGTTCAGCTTGGTTTCCAGAGATCAATTAATCACCTGTGTACAAGACACATATGTATTTATTCGCCTGTGTTAATGTTACATAAAGACATTTTTAATATCAGTCACTATTGTTGACCATAGCAAAGGACATCTTAAACTTATAATTATATATTGGTACATTTTTAACTTTGGTTTCTATGTTGTAGTGAATTTTGCTATAAGATTAACACCATGAAGTAAGGCCTGATATGCATGAGTAGTAAGTAGGCCTGTCACAACTGCCTGATCACAATTACTTGAGCAATTATCTTCCACAGTTGTTAGCTTTCACAATCATATGTTCATACCACAGCAAACAGAATGTGACATGGGTGCGTTTTCATCCGTGGGGCTTAATGCATGTAAATAAAAGAAGGCAGAAAACGTATTTATTGATGCATCATGAGTCTTGCAAAAACAACAAAGTTCTGACTTCTGATTGGTGCAAGGTATACGAGGTATACGTTTTAGGGATGCACAGTCGGAGTTGGCCAAAAGTGGAATTAGCAGTTTTATGCTCCAAACACACTCTTGGCAACTGGCCAATTTATTATTTTCATTTTGGCCGACCAGTGTTGCAATTATTTGATGCAAAAATGCAAACAAGGTAAGTGACAAATGTTTATTTTAGCTCAAACTGTTTGTATCATCGCCTCACAGCAAGATTCCCCGGCTGGGCGACCAGGGTTCTTTGCAGAGTTTGCATGTTCTCCCCATGTCTTTGGGTTTCCTCCCACCATCCAGACATGCAGTCAGGCCATTTGGACTTGCTAAATTGCCACCTAGTCAAATGTGTTTGCATATAAACATAGCCAGAATCTAGGAAGCGTAAGCATGAGCAGATATCAGCCAATTTGGCAGAAGAGAAAAGAGGCTGTTAGAGAGAGGTTACGAGTTCAATCCCAAGCGATGCCATAGCCATCTCCATCCAGAGAGAGAGGGGCTTTCATGGACTCCATTGCTCAGCACAGTGCTAGCCAGCATGGATGTGTAGTTGCCGATATAGCAGAATAGGTGGTTAGTGTTCTCCTCCAAGCATGCTGAGCTGTCCAGTGACTTTGCGTAATTAGCAGTTAAAAGGATGCTGTGGCGCTTCACATGACTCGGAGCAGGCATGTGCTTGCCTTCATCCTCCTAGCTCTGCTAGTATTTTGTGACTGAGGGAGACCTAGCTAGCAGAAGGAATCAGACATGACTAAATTGTAGGCAAGATTAGGGGAGGAAAAAAAAACCCCACAGTTGTTTATGTGGAAAACTGTGTGATCATGACTGCAGTCTAATAGTAAGCAAAACATTAATGTATACTTGTGAGGGATGCATAAATGTAATTGGCCCAGATCAAAATTGGCAGATTTTTTGCTCCAAACACACGACTGGCAATCGGTTTATTATTTTAATTTTGGCCAATCTGTGTTGTAATTTTATGATATAAATAATATATGGAGAAAAGTGCTCTAGAATCCTGCTGCTACCCCTATGCCAAAACATAAATAATAATACTAATTATGCATGACTCATTGTGCTAAATAGCTAAATGTTATTTTATTTGGCAACTGATTTTTCATTTGTCAGTTCAGTTAATTAAAAAGCAAGTTATGTAATTTATATTGCAACTTTGTAAATATGTTGGTATATTTCATGTGTTTATTTAACACTATATTAAGTTCAGGTTAAGAGATAAAAAAATAAATAAAAATATATCCAAAAAAAAAAAAAATACAAAGGGGAATTGGCTTATTTGGCTCTAAAGGACATGAAATGGCCCATTAATATTAATGATTGGTGCATCACTAATACATAAATTTCATGTTAGTTAAACACAAGTATTTTAATTTTTTTCATTTGTGATTTCCCAAATGTCTTCATATGGCAGAGTTTATCAGGATGTAAAGAACCTTAAGAAAACATGATCTTTTGTGTTATGAATTGCTAGTCAGCACTGTAAAAAATGTGTGTTGAGAGAACCTTATCACCACAACATTATTGCTATTCTCTTAATACAAATCATATGATTGAAATGTAGTCGCCAGTGTCTACACCTCTGTCTACACCACTAGGGGGCCTGTGTGAAGAGCTTATGGTGATACTGAATATTATATGGTGGTCATTTTCTCTTTCTGCCATTAACAGGAACTTTGACTCAGAGTTCTTGTCCTGCGATTGCGGCCTGCGATGGGTGCCTGGATTCTTTCGCTCCAGCTCGGCCCGGCTTGGAGATGAGACCTACTGCTCGTATCCAAGAAGGTTCCAGAACAGGCCGCTGCGAGAACTACGAGAGTCTGACCTGAGCTGTGGTGAGAAAAAGATACATACAAGGGAAAGATACATACATCCACATATGCCAACACAGACACTATATACCGTATACACAAAACCTCACCCAAAAGAAACAAGAGAAATATGCTTGGGTCCACATGTTGAGCGGCGTGTACTCCAGAGAACCGGAAGAGGGAGGGAAGATTAAATCCTGAGAAAGTGTCGATTTACCGAAATTAAAGCTCCTGGATTCCTAAAGGTAAAAAAAAATCGAATTCTGTGTTGCTTTGAAAATTTGCCTGCTTTTTCTGGAAATCCCACCTCCTTCAGTCTCTGTGGTGTTCTGGCTGCTCAGCGGAATTCCTTTGGAGCATGTTTCAAATCCCATCCGCCCCGATGCAAACATCTTCCATTTTCCTTGCTCATCATTCTACGCTCCGTCTTCTATCACTGGGGGTCCGATTCGGTTTCCCTGTGGCTTACATTCAGGCCTCGTCTGATCCCGCTGTGGGATATGCGCTGGGGGTGTTTTTTTTTCAGGCGGCGTCTCAGGGCCTCAAACCAGACTCCCCGCTGCTGTTTCAATATCAGCTCATGTCACCATTCCTTCCTCCGCGACTCTTAAAACATATTTGTGTTGGCAAGCAACAGATAGAGCCGACTGTCTATGAGTAATTCCACTGTGGTTTTGCTGTTATGAATAAAGGGTCGTTGCCAATATCCCAAAAGCCGCTAAACGTCTCTGATTCAGCCAGGGTCTCTCTTGCAACTAATCTGATGGGGCTGAATGATGACAGAGCAACAAAACTCTCAAAGAAAATGACTGTGTCTCACCCCCTGCTACTAGCGTAAGAGAGTGAATAGAATCAAATTTACTTCGGTTATTACCCAAGGAGATAGCTAATAGGCTACTCGGTTAGGACTTTGCAGGGCCCACAGATATGATATTTCATATATTCTGGACAAAGAATAACACCAGGGTGTTATCCTCTTACACACGGCAACCACATCAGTGTGAAATATTAAATTCATTTATATTCACCCAGGTTATGTGCACTCTAGTCTGCATAAATAGACACCTTCATGTACACGGGCAAAGAATTCTCAATTGCGTTTTAAAGAAAAGATTTGACACCAGACAATAAACTTTAATATAGCAATTTGTCAAACTAAAACTAGAGTTTAATATGTTATTTGTCATGTTACGTAGTGTTCTGTATCACATTATATCACTCAAACTCAATGGTTTGAGAGAACATGATATTTGTAGCATCAGCCAGTACTGACTGCAAGTCTAGCCACTGATCTGTGGGCTAACAAATGCAATCAAGCTAGCGTTAGTGTAACTCTTAGCTCAGTCATTGAACAAATTTCAAAGAAAACAGTGATTCTGTCTTTACTTAGCTCAAAATGGACAGCAGAGGCAAGTTTATTACTCTTTTAGTCAGAAAAAAAGAAGCCGAACTGAGATAAAGTGTCTAGATAGCCAGATAACATGCTAACTTTTTTTTAACCTTTATTTAACCAAGAATGTCCCATTAGATTAAAATCTCTTTTTTGATTGAGACTTAGCCAAGATAGCACACAGTTTCCAGTTACAGGAATTATAAAATTCCTGTCACTTCTGTCATAATGATGATGTAAAGACTGTAGCTTTAGCTTTTAGCTCAGCACAGCTAGCCCAATGTGGCTCATTGTGCTCTTCATCTAACAAGTCAAGAGAAAAGAAGCCAAACTGAGATAAAGTATCTAGATAACTAGGTAGCTGCCTTTCTAGCTTTAGCATTTAGCTTTTTCTCCTCCTCATCTGACGAGTCACTTCTGTCGTAATGATGATTTAAAGACTGTTACCACAGTTTTATGGCTGCAATAAGATATTTGGCTTTCTGTTAGTAACGTTAGCTATCTGGCTTCCTTCTGCGTTCACCAGCTAATGAAATAAAACATTTTGAAACAGCCCAACCTGAAAAATCCACCTCAGTGCAGTTGTTGGTTTCCATGGCTCTTCCCTCCTTCAAAATATGTCATCAGAAGGAAGCTTTTTAAGTCTTTAAACCAGAAAATTTCACTCTGTGGCACCACTGTAGGATGTGACTAATCAGGTTTACAACAGATGTGGTGGTGGTCACATTTGTCATTCTGGTTAAAGTGTTCTTTTAATGCTTTACCTGCAATAGCAATGGCTGACAGTATGTATTTATGTTTTTTCCAGATGGCCCTTTGGAGCTGCACACTCTGTCTTTGTTGCCCTCCCTGCGTCAAGTTGTGTTTAAAGGAGACAGGCTGCCTTTCCACTGTACTGCCGCCTTGGTGGACAAAATCACCACATTGCACTGGCTTCACAAAGGCCAACAAGTCATTAATGACCCTGAGAACGGAGTTCACCTAGAGGACAGTGTGCTACATGACTGCACCTTCATCACCAGGTAACGACTACTGGATACTAAGAAAGTTTTAGAGATATGATTGTAACTACAGCAACAGTGACATAGCGTTAATATTCTTTTGACCCAATATTTGTTCTGCAGCGAGTTGATCCTGTCGAACATGAATGTTGAGGCCAGCGGCGAGTGGGAGTGTGTGGTGTCCACGGGCCGAGGAAACACCTCACGTAGCGTGGAGATTGTGGTTCTGGAGAACAGCGCCACCTTCTGCCCTGAACAGAGAGTGACCAATAACAGAGGAGAGTTCAGGTTAGGAAGACTAGACTAGCCATCCTGTGACAATACATAATAATTAGCGCTCCCTGTAACACTGTCAGCTCAGACCAACTCAAATTATACACTAATTCTACAAAGTACCTATACTGCCAGTATGGATCTCTTAGAGTAGTGCTATCTCCCTGTCATCTAGATGGCCGAGAACTCTGGCGGGAATTACTTCGTATCAGTACTGCCTGCAGCTGCGCTACCCATCCGTGACTGTAGGAGGCAGTGTGGAACAGAAAAGGGCATCTCGCTACTGTGACCGCTCAGGACGCTGGGAGGAAGGAGACTATTCCCAGTGCCTTTACACGAATGACATCACCAATGTTCTCCATACTTTCATACTGGTAATACATCACCAGTGCTCTCTGTTTAATATTGGCAATACATCACCAGTATTCTCTATTATTTTATACTGGTACTACATCACAAATGTTCTCTATAATATGTCACCAGGTAATATGTCACCAACGTTCTCCATTATTTTATGCCGATAATACATCCCCAGTGTTCTTTATTAATTCATACTAGTAATACATCACTAATGTTCTTTATTACTTCATAATGGTAATGCATTGTTAATGTTATCTAATATTAAATACTGGTAACATATCAACAATGTTTTCTATTAATTCATACTGGTAATACATCAGTGTTTTCTATCATTTCATACTGGTAATACATCATAAATATTTTTTATTATTTCATAATGGTAATGCATTGTTAATGTTGGCTAATATTTAATACTGGTAACATATCATCAATGTTCTCCATTAATTCATACTGGTAATACCTCAAAAATGTTTTGTATAAATTCACGCTAGTAATACATCACCAACATTCTCTATTAATTCATACTGGTAATACATCATCAATGTCCTCTATCATTTCATACTGGTAATACATCACCAGTGTTCTCTATTAATTCATACTTTTAATATATCACCAATCTTCTCTATTAATTCATACTGGTAATACATCATCAATGTCCTCTATTAATTCATACTGGTAATACATCATCAATGTCCTCTATCATTTCATACTGGTAATACATCATCAGTGTTCTCTATTAATTCATACTGGTAATACATCATCAATGTACTCTATCATTTCATACTGGTAATTCATCATCAGTGTCCTATATTAATTCATACTGGTAATACATCATCAATGTCCTCTATCATTACATACTGGTAATACATCACTAATGTTCTCTGTTAATTCATACTGGTAATACAGTACATCAACAGTGTTCTTTTTTCACTAATATTGGTAATTAGCAGTGTTTTCTGTTCTGGTAACTTATTTCATACTGGTTCATACTGCCATATCAGTAGCAATGGGTATCAGCATTGGGCATGATCACAATCCTCTATACTTTCATACTTCAATACCTTAACAGTGTTCTCCGTTATTTCATACTAGTAACACATAATCAATGTCTTTCTTACATTCATATTGGTAGTCCCAGCTTTTTTATTACTAAAACTCATCTCTTCATACTTCTACTATAATAAGAAAAGTTCAATTCAGCTGCTTTAATTGCAAACTACTAGACTTTAAGTTTTGGTCATGCTCATTTCTAGCTTAAAAAAGAGTATTATAGCTGTGCAATATTTTAATACACTCTTATCAGATATATCAAGACAGCTCAAAGGTAAATCCACTTTAAAATGAGTTTCTTCTACAAACCTAAGCATTAAATGCACCCCTAGACTGAGTCCTGTGCCCTATGGTAAGATAAGAACTCTACTAACTGTTCCTTCCGGTTTGTGTTTTTATGCTGTAGATGCCCATCAATGCCTCCAATGCTGTGACGTTAGCACATCAGGTGAGGTCATACACGTTGGAGGCAGCAGGCTTCTCAGACACTGTGGATGTTCTCTATGTGGCCCAGATGATGCAGAAATTCATGGACTATGTCAAACAGCTACGTGAGGTAGAGTCAACCTTCATCTGTTTGTGTGCATGTTTTTATGTATGATGTGGGTTTTCCAACAACAATTTAGTAGAGGTGGGCGCTATGGTGATATATAGAGACATCAAGACATGAAGACATGTTCACAAACATTCATTTCGGAGGTTTCATAAGTTGACAAAGAAAAAAAGACTCAGTAGTGCTATGTTAAAAAATACTATCAAAACCTATGAATTCAATCATTTTTTCAGCATTTCTCATACTACAGTAAATCCATTAAACAATACTAATTTTGTTTCTCTTCATAGCAAAACATGCAGTTGGTCAGTGTTCTTTTAAGTAAAGAGGACATCCATGATATGCTTAGAAAAGCAAGTGACATAAAGGAGTTGTACAATTTGTTGACTCATTCTATGCATGTTTCCCTGGAAAACAATATGCAAATAGTTGATAACAAAAAACGAAAAGCGTATGACATAATGTGCCATAATTTATCATGATAACAACACATATTGTCACATTGCCTCCACTATGGTTTTCCTATAAGAACAATAGGCTTCACAATATGGAAAGCATGTTAGCATTGTGATTGTGATTGCCTTTCAGCATATTAAAATTCACTGGTGAACCAATAATGTGAAATGGTTTAAGATTAGCCTGCATTATGTTTGACCAAAATAATATACTTTTGTTGGATAATATGAATACCTTGATCCACCAAAACACCCTCAGAAACACTCTGGAAAAGATGCTCATGGCATACAGTACAGCAATTGGTTCGAGGGCTCATTTGCGTGTTGGTCTTTCAGCTGTCAGAAGTGCTGGTGGAGATGGGCAGTAACCTGATGCAGGTAGATGATCAGATCTTATCCCGGGCTCAGAGGGAGGAGAGAGCCTGCAGCTCCATTGTCCACTCTCTGGAGACCTTGGCCTGGCCACAACTCCACCCCAATGCCCAGGACCTCTCCATGGTAGGCTGCACTGCAGGACCGTAAATAAAAAAAGAATGCTTCGCCCAGAACTGCTAGATCAGTGAATGAGAACTAGTCATCAGTTTTCTCATTTGAATGACACTAACTTTTTTCATTCATTATTTGTAGTGTTAGTTTGGGTGAAAGATTCATTGGACCACATCCAAGCAAAGTCTTTTCAAACACCATCCTGAAAGTTTTTTTTTAAATCAGTCGTATTCCCTTAATTTCCATTGTTCGCACTGTATTAGTATTGCAAGGAATTGTTGATCATCTTTCAGAGTTTCTGGTAGTTTCAGTGTAGCCTTATGGCAAACTCATGCTCACAGAACAATCGTAGCATTCAGCAACTAGTGTGGGGGGTTAGCAGGGGTCCCTGCTTCTCATATTAGTCTTGCTGCAGGGCAAGCTCTGCCATAATAAGACAAGCAGAAGCTAGAAAACAATATTGTAAATGGCATTGCGTGAAATTTGGTTTTATGGTTATCAACAAAGATATACTATATGTTTTTGGGTGCTTTTGAGTTCACTTTTAGTTCTTGGATATCACAAAAAATGCTAAATTAGTCTGAAACGATCTTTTTTCAGTAAGGAAATAACACAGCAATTGTTGCTGTGGTTAACATTGCCTCGTATCTCTGCTTTGCAGATATCTCGGAACATTGTGATGGAAGCTCATTTGATACGTCCTGCTCAGTTCACCGGCATGAGCTGCACTGCCTATCAGAGACGCGAAAGCTCTGGAGCCAGTTCTGGCTTGGACACAACAGACTCCATCCATGAGCAGCAGCTGCGCTTTCGTTGTACCACAGGAACCCACAACGCTTCACTAAATGCTTTCCCTTTAAAGGTGAAACAGAAAACGTATAATGTTAAAAAGTATAATATTAAAAAGGAATACTTCTATCAAGCTCCATCGAGATAATATTGGGTGAATGTGTCTTAGCGTCCATTGTACAGTAGCTAATTCACTCTCTTTAATTTTCTCTTGTCTTTTCATAGAATGCCATAGCACTTGCTTCGGTCTCTCTCCCTTCATCCCTGTTTCCTCCAACTGCTCCCATGGACTGTAAACTGCAATTTGTGGCTTTTCGCACCGGGCGATTCTTCCCTTTTGTCGGAAACTCCAGCGGCCTGTCGGACCACGCTCGAAGACGCAGTGTCAACACGCCTGTCATCTTTGTAGGCCTCGGTGAGTCACTTGCCATTCTAGGAAAATGTCCATGAAGTTACAGTAAAGATCTGCAGTAAACAACTGCAACTAAACACTATTAAAGACATTAATTAGAGGCCGAGAAAGAGAACAGAGTACAGGCAGATAAAGCTCACAGGCCACAGTGCTGTTTCATGCACCGTATTCATGTGTAGTTTACTAGGCTGGAAAGAATGTAAACATGTGCTGGGAAAAATTGTGTAAAAGGAAACCTGTGAAGAGAACTGACATCATTCTTTCCTGCAGTGAATAACCCTGTAATGCAATTTAGTAAATCCAATCCTCCGAATCTTCAGAAATCACTCTCACCTGATAGTGCACATTAGCCTCAAATGATCCCGATTATCTCTCTCTCTCTCTCGTAGATGGATGCACCATGTGGAACCAGTCAGCTCCCATCATCGTGTCGCTGCGGCACACGTCACCTGGCAGTGACCCCGTGGCTGCCCATTGGAGTCTCCAGGCGCTCAAGCATCATGGGAGTTGGAGTTCAGATGGCTGCCAGTTAGCTCACAGTGACTCAAGCACTTCTACTTTACGCTGCTCTGTGCTCAGTAATTACGCTGTGCTTCAGGTAAAACTACTGGACAAAGCCAAATATTCTATATAAGGTTCTTTTTACGATGATGAGAACTGAACATATGGTGTATTAAAAAAATGTTGTCTTTCTATGTGCTAATGCCCTAAGGGCATGTGGGCCCACACTTTAGTTTCTCACTCTCATATCTACATGAATTACACATTTATAGTAATTATAGAATTATTTATAGAAAAGACTGGTTAAGTCTGTAAATATGAATGTAAAATGAATAATAATGTTGATTATCATATTTGAAGATTAATATTAAGTCTAGGATTAACCCCTTAAATTGCCAGGATCCACCGGTGGGTCCAAAGTTTTAATATACACTTCTAAAAACTAAGAATAACTAGAATAACTAAGAACAGTTACTGAAAAATAAGCCTTGGTAGGAAGTCACATTTATATGGAGCCTAATAATTCGTTAATAATCGGACTAACAGCTCAATCGGTATAGAACACGTCCATGTATACACCTCTTTTGGAATAGACTAGTTCAATTGAGGCCATTCGGAATACAATTTCTGTCCAATTGAACGAGGTGGGTAATTCTGTAAATAATCCACTAAATAGAAGAATAATAACCGAGTAAATGCCTGCCTCTGATTACATTCCCAGTCGTAAAGTTTAAGTATGTTAAGTGCATGTGCGTCACGTCATAGTGAAAGTTTATGAACTTTAAAAGACGGCGGTGGGACTGGCAACCAGAACATGACGTCTTCCTCTCACTCCTTCTTTAATAAGTACATGTGAAGGACGTTTTCCTGAGTCTGACAACATTTTAAAGTAATTAAAAACACAAGCGCTGTTCACTGCTGCTCATCTCACTCTGACTGGACTGACGTGATGCTCGTTGTCATAGTAATGTCTACACTAAGTTGTACTCTACATATGCGTGTAAGTTTGGATCGGATCATTTGTAGCGTGCATGTAAACAGAGTAAACAGAGAGTAGAGTGAGCATATAAACATTTCAGTCTTAATCTATAATCAGATTGAAGCAGACAGTCATTGTGTAGAAGAGTTATTGGAAGATGTGGCGAAAATTGAGTGGAGGATGTGAGGAAAATGATTAAATGTAGTTTTCCTGGCTGTCGGGGAAACAAATGTGTCATCGCAGCTATCCAAAGTAATTCAGGCATCCAAAAGGAGTGTCTTAAGTTCATTTTTTCAATGTCAAACAGATAACATATAATTTAGCCTGGACTGCTTTTTGAAGACAGGCACAATATAGAGCAGCGAAAGAGAGCAGAGGTCATTTACATCTATAAATCTTAAATGGACATGTAAATATGAATTATGACAGTTTTTTACAGCTGTCTTGATTGTGAACTTCACACAAAAAAAATGCAAAACCAGTGTAGAATATGGCCCCTATAAAGCATGCCTTAAAATGTATATTGTATATTGGTTGGTTGTGACATATTTATATATAGGTTGATATATTGTGCAAGTATATTCTTACCACTGATTCCCAGTGTGGGCACAAAAAGCAATAAGATTCAAATTCATCCCATTCTAGCACTTGCATGCAGAGCAGCTGATAGCAGTGTAAGACAACTTCAGATTGATAGTTACACTGTAGTGCGTCTATAGTTAATGAGCTCTTCTGCCCTGCTTGCCCTGTTATAGCGATAGACTCATTCCTGTACATGGGGAGGAGGCATATCTCATTACTAACCAGACATTTAGCACTACATAACCTCTTTTCCTGACATGGGGCAAGAGATATTAAAGTTATGCTAGGCCTTACATGGCTCTGGAAAATGATTTGACATTGACAGGGTAATCTCATGACTGTTTACTTCCTGGCACAAAGTTTGAGGTTTAATTAGAGCTTGAGTTTCATGTATGTAGAGGTCAAGGAATGTGGTGAGCACTTATCAAGGAGGAGGATAATGCAATTAGTCTGTCGATGTGAATGCATAGTATGTGAATTTGGTAATGCTTATTTCTCGTTCTCTCTCTCTCTCACTCAGGAGGTACCCGATTTCCCAGGTCTGTCTCCAGCTCCAGTTGAAGTGCTCCACCCGGTGGTCTACACCTGCACTGCAGTTCTCCTCCTCTGCCTCTTCACCATCATCTTCACATACATACTGCACCACAGGTATTGCATGTGTGCAATGAGACACTGACAGAAGCTGAATAATAATTTCATAGTCTAATCTTACTCAGATGGTAAATTCAGGAGTCTACACTTTCATCAAAAATATGAAACTCTTACATGAATTTTGCATTTTCATAAACACTCTTTTTGTTAATATTTTAAAAAAATGGAACTCAAAACTTAGTTTTGTCCTGATAAGGTAACACCTCCCTTTAACTATGCTGTTAGCCTAGTTAGTTGTAAAAGTCTTAAATGATATTTGACAGTGCTAATGTAAGTATAAGCAATATGCTATTAGGCCCTCCTCAACTAAAAGTTTTCTTTAGTGCTATTACTTTTTATCAGTATCAGTATCATCAAAAACTGTAGGCCCATAAAAAAGGACATGTTAATAAACGTTAATGTCAGTTAATGACACAAAACAGCAGACGAAGATGAGGTATTGAAGGTTTGTAAAAATATTGTGCTGGCCACTGTTACAGGGATCTTTTCTGAAGTAAAATAGCAGAAAAGCGCTTTCAATCACAGTCACAAAGAAGAGAGTTTTGTTTGACCACACATCCTTCTCTTCTGTTCTCAGCTCAATCAGAATTAGTAGGAAAAGTTGGCACACCCTCCTCAACACCTGTTTCCACATCGCCATGATGACCGCGGTGTTTGCTGGGGGCATCACCCTAACCAGCTACCCCATCGTGTGCCAGGCAGTAAGCATTCCATCTAGAATTTGGCTATAAAGTGGCCCATAATAACAGTGAATGCTGAATGTTGACCAATACATTTGTTTTTTTTTTTGTATATTAAAACTGACATTTGTATGTTTGGTTCTGTATTGTGTGTTAATTAGGTGGGGATTGTCCTGCATTACTCTTCTCTGTCCACCCTATTGTGGATCGGCGTTAGCGCACGTGTCCTCTATAAGGAGGCCTTATTGCGGACACCAAGACAACCAGAGGCCGAGGGTGTCGTGCCGCCCACCCAGCGGCCCATGCTCAGGTCAGAACTCAGAACCTAATTCTGCTAACTATACATGCTTGTTGCTCAGACAATGATGCTGCTGTTTCCTTCTTTATTATGGCTTCCTCTTCTGAGCTGGTGTGGGAAAGGGGTTTGCACTGAGGCTGTGGGAGAGGATGGATGGAGGTGGACAAGACAAATTGGAGCATATAAAGCACTGTTTACAGACAAGCGTGCAAGCGCAAAGACCACCATGATGCAAAACCTCACTAGTCAAAGACGTTCATTGTTCTTTGTAGAACCATGAGCCATCTGTTGGTATGGAAAGAGGGAGAGAGGAGAATAAGAGGGGGGAATGTAAGGAGAATGGATTACATAAAAGTGGAGAGGAAAACCATAAATCTAATAAGGGATAATGTTAACTGTCAGTCACGCATGTAGACACACTCACATGGACATAGTTACAACCCTGTTCCCCCCTCGGCTTGGTTCTCACACTGTACTACTGACCTCTCGACTTTTTGCCACTGACCTCCATGCTACCCACCCACCCTACAGGGTTTCCTCAGAGACAGGGCCTGCTCCCTGGGATAAATCATTCCCCTGTTCCTTCTGTCTCCCACATAAAGCAGCACTTCTCAAGCCTCTGTTCAGAGAATAAAGAGTGGCCAAATATGTATCACACAACATATATCACTACATTTTAGTAAACAAAACTGTAGTAGTAGCCATCTTCAGCCCTTATGTCCATACTTTTGTGTATTTGTATAGATTACAGTATGTTATGGTGCCTGAATGAGCGAGACTATTTGAGAATGATATGAGGCAAGTGTGATATCTCCATGCCTGAATATGCATGATGCTAATTGGTGGCTATGGGCTTCCCTTACTTGTTAGTGTTATTAACCTTGTAGCTCCTATGGAAAACTAAAGGACCAATCTAGGCTGATTGACTTCATTTGGGGTAAATTTGATATCTGCCTTTTATAAGAATATATCTAACCAAACATAATGTGTAATTTATCAAAGAATGTAGAACACAACTCAAAATAAATGTATTGTTTTACTATATACACCTATACAGTTTATTCATATCATGGATTACAGTATGGATGGGAAAAGGAAATGCATAATATATTAGAAATAATATTTTTAATCGCAAATGCTTTAGACTGCACCCCATTCACATTATTTGTATCGATTGCATATAATGGATTGGTGTTATTACTTCCCATTCTTTGTTTCATCCAGAACATTTCCATTCTGTTTCTCTCTGTAGGTTTTATTTAATAGCTGGGGGCGTTCCCCTCATCATATGCGGAATCACTGCAGCTGTGAACATCAACAACTACGGAGACAACATTCCTTAGTGAGCAGAAATATTACTTAATATTACTGTATAACATTTTGCATGCTCCTGAAGGAAACCGAATTAAGGAATTATTAAGACAAGCAGAAAAGGAAAAAGAAAAGCAGAACCTAGTTTGTCCCTCATCCATACTATACATTCAGATGACTCATTATTATGTAAGTAACATAATGTTGTATTAGCAGTGCCTAACAGGAATCTGACCACAACCATCTATTTCATTTTTTCCACAATGCACTCACTCTATGACCCTCCTTATAGCAATCTTAGATTTATTATGCATTCTGGCAATGCTCTTAAACAGGAGTCTTTTAAAAACAGAGCCCTTTTTGTGTTTCTGTCATTTGAGTGATTCATTGCCTTTGCCCTCTCTGACCTTTTTATTGCCTCTTACCCCTTCCGCAGCTGCTGGTTGGTATGGCAACCTAGTATTGGTGCTTTCTACGTTCCGGCTGGCCTGGTGATCTTGGTGACCTGGATCTACTTCCTGTGTACCGTGGCCCGCTTGAGGTACCGCAACTCCCAGAGGGCCAAAGACCCTCCGTGTTCCGCCTCTGGCTCCACCCCCTTGCCCGAGGGACAACCAGCTCTTAGTGGCAGCACCAGCTTGCTTTCAACTGACTCTGTGGTTGGCCCAATGCATGCTGGGATTACAGTGGAGGACCAGTACTCGCTGAAGGTGCAGTTCTTGGCACTTGTGGCGACTCAGTTTGTGTTTTTGCTTCTATGGTGCTGCGGTGCAATGGCGATGTGGCACACGGACAGAGAGAGGAAACTTTTCAGCTGTTTGTATGGGGGAACAGCCACTGGGCTGGGAATCTTCTTGGTGCTGCATCACTGTTTCAAGCGCTTAGATGTCCAAGCAGCCTGGCTAGGGTGTTGCCCTGGGTACCATCGCTCCCAGCCCATTCCTGCCTACAGCCACCCCTGTACCACCACTGCTGGGGTCCAGAGCAGCTCGGACCAGGGCTCACAGCTTTTCGTGGGATGCCATCCTCTGGCAGAGCCCAACAACTACTCTTCCTCTGCCAGGTCATCGTCTACTCCTAGCGGCACAAGCAGCATTGGCACTGGACCCTGTAAGCTCACCAACCTCTTGCAGGTGACGCAAGACAACGCTAACAACACCACCCGTGCTTTGGCAGGCACCAACACCAACACTAGCACAAGCACAGAGAACACCAATAGCAAGCCTGCTAACAACCTGCTACCCAGTATTAGCACCACACTGCCTGCTCAGCAGCCACAACGGCGGAAGACTAGCAGTAGAACTAAGGCAGGAAGTACCCAGTACCACCACCGGGGGGAGGGAAGGGGACACTATCGGCTCAAAGCACTACGTGGAGCTGGGGGTGGGGGCAGCGTGGGTGCCCTGGGTCCACCTGGGATGGACCAAGTCAGCATCCATCATCTTCACAGACACGCTTCCAGCGAAAACGGAAGCCTCCGGAACAGTCATTCCGAGAGCCAGAATGGACCGCTGACCAATGGGAGGCACCGTGGGGAGGGACTAGCGACAAGCCCTTCGGAAGGAAGCGATGGCGGCAGCAGTGGAAGTAGGAAGCCCTTTCCGCTGCTGCCGTCAGTGGCAAGTCGGGTCGCTATGCAGCAGAACGCGCAGAAGCGCAGTGCTAGCAGGGACAACCTCAAACTGGCCGCTGCGGCTGACAGAGACTCTAAGCGGAGCTCGTTCCCACTGAACATTGCCACAACAGCAGTGACCGGGACAGTCACCGGGACAACCTTGTCAACAACAGCTGCCGCGCCAAACGGAACGCTAAAAGGATCCGTGATCGAATTGGACACGAGTGGAACTGACCAATCGCATGGGTCAGTTGGGATGAGGGGCGGGATCTGGAAGAGTGAGACGACAGTGTGATGCTAGAAAGCAGCTAGGGTTCTGTGTTTTTAGGGAAGTACCCCTTGTGCGATGGGAGCCAAAAGCCTCAGTTGCGTTTGTCACAAGTGAAGCCTCTTGCTTCCTCCATGATTAGCCTCCTGTCCTTTTTATTTTCATTAATGCTCAGTGAGCTTTGAACAGCCTGCACCTTCCTGAAACGCACCAGACGGTTCAGCAGATAACTAAGTGGAGTTGAGGCTTCAGAAGGGGACCTGTCCAGTTCAGTCCCAGATGTGGAAAACTGATAAATGTGCATGGCAGTTTCGTTCTTTTGAATAAGTGAAGGGATGTATATGCAAAAGCTGACCCCTCCAAAATATGTTTTGTCAAGAAATGTGCAACAGTATTGTTTCTCTGTGATTTGTCTGTCTTTTATTACAGTATTATCTAAAATGGGTTTTAAAAGCTATAGAAGGTGTTTGAGTACCGTAAGGTATCTTTAAGCTCAAATTTATCCATTTTGATCTTTGTTTCTATGCATACCAATGGAGATAGATCTTGAGCTGCATTCCAAGTTCATTTTCAGAGAGCTGTTTGTGTTTTGCTTCTACATCCTTTTTATACTTAATGTGCTTGTCTTGCTTTTGTATGTTATTTAGTGACTGTGTGAGAGATGTACATGTCTGAATGTATGTATGAATGTATGGATGTGTCAGTTGACCATTACAGTATTTATATCCATTTGCTCTCTAGCACTGAAAAGTACCTCTTGGCCTTCTCTTGTCATTCCAACATTGATGCTGAAAAGGAGGACTCGTTGCAAATTACCTCCCTCTCCACAATTTTCCATGGCACTGGGAATGTCGGTCTTTTTTCTGCTGATAACGGTCTGTTCCAAAGCAGGAAGTAACCCATTCTGTTCCATCACTGTCCCCCCGTTTGGCGAAGAAGGCCAAGACCGTAATGAAAAACATGGATCTACCCTGCCCTCTGGTGGACCAACTATGCCATTTATCCATTCTATCAGATCCATCATATTCGCTCGAGTTTGGACGAAAGCAACTGTGACCGTATAACAACAGCCAAAAAATAGAGATGCTGTTGGTGCTTTATTGAAAACGTTGTTTGGATAAGTATAATTTGTACTATTTTAATCATGTATAACATGGTTTTCCCCATAGCACTTGGATGTTACCCCCACACCATCATGGTGGCCCAAATGAAGACAAAGAATTAACCTTTTTATATATATAATATTCATGTCAGTATTAGCAGATTCAGGGTTTTTTTTTTTTTGTTTCAGGCATATTATTGCTTTGTAATTTATACTCGATCACCATTGTTAAACTGAAGTTTTGTTCACTGTTAACTTTTCCACACAGGTGTTCCTAAACGTCATTCAAAGTACTGTTTGGAAAGAGCTCTTTGAAGTCATAATGGGACAGTTTACCTGAAAATATTACATCTAGCTTAGACTAAAAAAGGGTTTTCATTGAGGAGTGTTGTATGGTAGTCATTTAGACTTACTTGGTGTGAAGAAAACTTTAAATGAGGTTCCTCAGCTTTTTCTTATACGAGTGAAGAAATAGTGGGGAAAACAGTGTTAGGCACAAGACAATCATTTCATTTACAGGTCCTGCACTACGCTAACAGTCAGCCTGTTGTTATTTATGATGCCATATGCAATGTCGACTTTCAGCAGTGTTATTGCAATATCAAGCTTTGTTCATGCTTCACATCGTCAGTCTGTCTTAGATTAGTTACTGCCAGCTTTTCTTTAACACGTATGTTCAGGGATTTTTATGCCAAAGAAGCTTTGTGTTCAACACCTTCTTCATGTCACGGTATTTGCAAACAAGACTCTTTCCTCTCTCTCTCTATCCTTACACATCAGAAATCTCCCTACGATGTCAAAAATTAAGCAAAATTCAAAAACACACTAATAGACCCAGATTTTGTGAAAGCAGTATTTATTGACACATGGCAGTATGTGTAGCAAACAGAGCCATGTGCTTGTTGTAGTGTAGTTATAGTTCCAGTAGGCTGTATTAGTGAAATGACCTGACTGTGCGAGAGGGTGGAGTATGCCTTTAAAAGCAGAAATGCTCCTTCTCATCATTCCCTTTTGCAACACCACATGACTACAATGAGTTATAAGGATTCATTAAAAAAGTTCAATGTGATGTTTAAAAGTGCCACGGTTTCACAAGCCATAATGATTATTCCATTTACAATTCTCCTGGTTTTTGGTCAGTACAAATTCAGTAGGCTCTTTAACTAACAAACTGTCTCTACTGTCATCTCAAAGTTTTAAAAAGGGAGATTTCAAAAGTTTCATGTGTATTTATATGTGTCACGTCGCATTGATGGAAATTAAAACATTTTTTTCAGTTTCAGTAATATATTTGCTGTTAAGTTTGTGCCTTATCAAAAAATCTGATGCAAAGTAATGAAAATAAAATAATTAGCACTGAATCAAGCTTGTTTCAGTCGTTTCCCTGGCTTTGGCCTTTATCTACACTCAGTGGCATATCTGTGGGGGGCACAGATGGGGCAATTACACTAGGGCCCATGGTGCAGGGGGTGGTGACCAGGCCCCCTAAGGTTGTTATTGGGCACCTCATATAAATACTGACACAACTGTACACACATATCTCATTTCTTAACAACATGGCTCGCCATTTAGCTTCAGTCAACACTGCACAGACAGATCGCCTCTTATTCATATCTCATTCACGTTCACCATTTTCAGATGGACTCACAAGCTGCAACATAACACATACATACTGGTCATTCGCCATTTGGAATGGGAAACCATGTCACAAAGGTTGCAGGGCTAAAAAGATGCTTTAAATATTAGCTCCAAAAGTCAGTATATACATTTACACAGTTGACCTAAGATGAAATACTTTTCCCTTATGATTCCTCTGATTTTTCTTTTCTTACCCTGTTTCATAGTCGCTCTGCATATTTAAAACATAAAACCAATTTTCAACATTTGAGAAACCATTTTTAATATAAAACAATATTTTTTAAGAGGTGTAACTGAGAAATTTGTATAAAACAGATTTATGTTTACTGTTTATATTTAGAAAAAACATGTATTTTATTTGAAAAATTCATTTTGCCACAGAGATTTTGGTCACTGTTGTTATCAGGACTCTTATATCCCATTATAACACAGTATTTTCAGCTCTATTAAACTGCTTCCTTGGGTCAAAGCTCATCAGAGAGGAAGCATCTCAAGGCATGAGAAGGCAACACTTGCTCACCATATTTCATTAATTTTTTAAAAATGTTGTTTATCAGGCAGCACATAATGTGTCACCAGTGTTATGTGTTTTAATCAATGGGTAATTAAAATTTTGTCAAAATAATACCATAAATTATTTTTATTACTGATTTCAAATAGTCACACAAGGTCACCTGACCGCCAATGAGTTGGCCAATTTACAAAATCCTCAGTTTTAACCAGAATGTCACTGGTGTCACTGTCACTGGTGTTACACCATATTCATATAACACCAGTGACTGTAGAATATGTTTGGAATTAAGATCTCCCTTTTGCATATATGATAATAAGAGATGTTAAACAACATATTAAGATTTAGTTTTGGGATAAAAGAAATTGATTATCGTATCCACCTGAATTCCCACTCCATATGGAGAATGACCCATATACGTTATCGTTTTAAAATCTTAAAAAGGTAGTATAATGCAAACATTCACGTCAGCATTAGATGTTAGTGAGTGTCGACTTGTTTGAGACTGTAACATCAACTTAAACGAGCCATTTGCCTTGTCATTAAAAAATAATAATTTAAAGTAATTTCGTATGAGGGCTGTTTATTTACTTATTGGCATTGATTCCATAAGATCTACGCCTCAGAAAAGGTAGTTCATGTTATTCAAGGCAAATGTTTTGTATTTGACTATTACGCAACCCTAGTTACCATGCGAAATGTAAATTCTCTTCCCAAGCCAATAGCAAAGGGCCTGTTAGTGATTGACAAGGCTTACATCCAATCAGATCGCTGGACCTGCGTTTCGGGGTGGGGCCGTATTCACCAAGAACAAAGAAACCTTTGAAAGCCTATGGGATGCTTTACGGTGAGGTTACGATACTTCAGCTTTAGCGAGACCTACAGCTGCTTAGTTTTGTCGGCTAACGTTATGTACAAACGGGCAACTCAAACTATGAAAGAACCTATTGTTTTGTATTCAAAGGTTCTAGCTAGATTTACACTTTTGAAAGAAGTGTAAGTCGACTCTGCTCAGTAATACCGGCTTCTGTGACCTTTCCCTTCGCGGAGGGTCCAGCTCCGATCCGGCGTTATCAGGGTTAACGCTAAAATAACGAACGTTACGTTTGGGCTAAAAACTAGCATCCCTAAAGCTAGCAGGCTAATGGGTCATAAGGCAGCTAACTACCTCACTGGAAACAAACAAAAAGTGGGTCACTGAGCTGAGGAGTAGCTTGTTTGCAGGAATAACTGGTAATGTTTGTATTTTACACTGTTCGAAACAATTATACTGTCTGAAGCGAACGTAGTTAACCGTCGCCCTTTTAGCCTCCAGCTAGGAACACATCCTCAGCTCGCCTTTAGCTAACTAACGTTACGCGGCTTTGTTTCAGGTGGCTGCTGGGTCAAGGACGAAACTAAGCTAGCTACACAACTTCAGGTGGTGCAGTTAAATGTAGGCAGGGCTCCTCTGGCTTTTCCCTGCCTGAATAACTCACCTGCATGCATCACCTGAAGCAAACAGGCTCCACACAGCAACTCCTTCGCTAGGGGAGTGGCCTGCGTAACGCTGGTGGAAAAACTCCAACAAACGCGGTGGGAGGGAGTTGTTAGCGAGGTAACGCTAAGTTTGTGAAGACTGTCGCTGAAACAGTCTAAAGAAGCCCCGAGAAGGCTGTGGAAGTCACATTAAACGGGCGAAACATCTCGTTTCGTCCAGCGCACCGGCATATCTCTGAAGTTTGCCTCAGCTCAGGAGCAGACCATGTCTCTAGCTGAGCAGAGTCAGCAGTGGTACCCCACCAGCGTTCAGGTAACGGTGCTTGAAGCGCGAAACCTGCGGCTCAAAGGCAAGAATGGCACCAACGACGCGTACGCCATCATGCAGGTGGCCAAGGATAAGTTCTCCACCTCGGTGGCCGAGAAAAGTGTAGCTCCCGTTTGGAAGGAAGAAGCCACCTTCGACCTGCCGCTCTTCCACCGCGGCAACGCGGACCGGTGCACTTTGGTTATCATCATCATGCACCGTGCCCTGGTGGGCCTGGATAAGCTTTTGGGACAAGCCGTCATCAACCTGGTGGACCTCCAAGAGAGCAAGACACGGAAAAAGACCGAGTAAGTGAAGTTCCCTCTCAAAACCGAACTGTAGTAATCATTTAAGGTGCTGTAGAGATGTGTAATAGTTGTTTTCGCCTCTTAAACCTCTTAAGACATTATACTAAATAGGAACAACGATTTTTCTATTTTTTTGCATAATTAAATTGTTAACATGTCAACAGAATCATCCAGAGTGGTTTGGAGTGAATTGCTTGGTACCAGAGAAACTTGCGAGTCAGAATTGTTCACAGTGGTGGTGATAGGAACCAGACGTCAGACTCTAAAAGCTCCCTCACAGAAAGTGTTTCATTAAATGGGTATGAAAACACTGCCTGATGTGTGAGACATTGTTTGTTTTATAGTAGTTATGGTAAAGGTTTGGTCTAAAATGTGTTTTAATCAATTTATTTTTTTATGCAGTCATGGCGGAGGGATACATGATATGTGCTAAGGCAAAATAGTCCCCAAAGAAAATTTGTTTTTTCACTGTAAAGAGATCAGAAGTCAGAAAGCTTCTCGCCTGATGAACAATTTTACATCAAACCAGTCAGCTGTTAAAATCTCAACCATGAATTTTACAGAAATTTTGGTAACACTTTATTTGGAGGATCCACTGTACATGCTTTTATAAAAGCTCAGCATATCTTTAAGTAATATTCAACTAAATATCCGTTAAATACAACTGAACTACAAGTTCAGTGTGAAAGAGTTTATTAAATCCATCCCTAACCTTAACCTCAAGGCTAAACCTATATCTACTCCCAACCTTAACCCTAACCACAATGTTGTTGATAATCAACTGAACATCACCGGAAGGTTTGTTAATGATTTAAGTATCTGTAGAGCATCTATAGGGGACCTTCCCAATAAAGTGTGACCAAAATTCGCCTTAAATCTGTAATATTTGGGTAGTATAGCCTAATATAGTAATTATACAGATTTGCTGTAAGATTCTTATAAATGAGAGTATTATTATAAAATCTTTTCCACAGGGATTTCTCTCCTAAGGTGCCTTAAAGGAGAATTATACTCTTTATTTTTCAAAATTTCTGCATAATTAAGTCATTGATATCTACACAAAGTCGTTCAGAGTTGTTTGGTGTGAGGTGGTGCAGAAACTTGTACAGAAGCATACTGATTCACATTTTGTTTACAGTGGTGGTGACCTCATGTGAGGGAGCGTTTAACTCTTTGAAAGCCTGGTTCCTATCACCACCACTCTGAATGACTTTATATCATAACAATTGAGTCACCCAGACATTTTGGAAAGTTGGTGGAATACCAATTTAACAAGTAATCGCGGCCTCTCAAAATATTGAGAAGTTTAGAAAGTTGCAGGCCTAAAACGTGACACTCTCATAGATGATGTCATGTGTAGGCAGGCTTACTCTGACTTTTCCATTACTGACTAACTTGTTTCGAAATCTGCGATTGTGGCCTCACGCCTCACTGAAGCTATTAGCTCATTATGGACTCACAGCCATTGTTCATCTTTTGCTTTGTCATGGTCAAACTTTCCTTCTATTGCTATCAACCACCATCTCACTGTGATAAGGAGGGAGATAAAATAGCACAGTTTCAGTGTTTCTACTGTGGCTTGCTATCTATCCTGGTGTGCGCTGCACAGATTCAGGTGTTTCTTGCATGTGAGTGATGTTGTATTAGCTAATGATCAAATCATTTGTGATTTAAATCAGGTTTGTTGGAGCAGGAAGATTGTAGATGTTAATGTTGCTGTTGTATGTTCATGTTCTATGTCATAGTTTTATTCCATGAATGAGCTTTAAGGCCTACTCCACACATCCTGAGGGAGTCTTTTACCAGAGCTGTCTACCTCACATTGCCTTTATTTTTCAATGGCATCAGTATCAATGGGTTAATAACAACATGGGATGCCCAGCAAATATAGTAATGGGAGTCAGATATCAGAAGCCGCTTGCGCCAGCTGTACAAGGCTGGTCGTGACGTGTGTTTACCAGGTTCAGGTTTACGCATCACTAAGTCAAAATGGGTTGTGCTCCACCAGTGGCATGTCCTGAATTCAATTTTAGGAGGGGCATGGTTACAGGTTGAATGGGCCGGCTAGCAAGCATGATGTCCCAGAGACATTGCTGTTGTGAGGATGATGACAGCAAGCTGAATTCATTGTAGCTAAGACATTAGAAAATTAGCTGCCCCATTACCATACACAGAAGGAAACATGTTTGAATATTAAACACAGCGTGTGATTGTTGTTCTTGCATTTAACTGGGTAGTGTTAGTTTCTATAACAACTGACAGCATAGCACTTATTCAAATGTTCTGTTTGTTTCCTGAATGTACCTGCTGCACCATTTAAGGTGGAACATAAAATTTGAATAAGAAATTAATTTCAGCCTTGTAAACCGCAGCAGGTAAGGGCTAATTAATCAGAAGCCCACCTTTTACAGCACTAGGCCTAGATGTTGTTTATGATGAACAGCTGAAATTTTGCAGTGTTTGCATTCATGTTGTTTTTTCCCCAAAGTACTAAACTTTTTTTTTTTTTAACTCACTAGCAATTGGAGCTATTTCTCCTGATGGTTCCCACCATCAGGAGAAATAGTGTAGCCAGCTAATGCAATGTTTGCAAGTTTTAAAAAAAGAGTCTTTCCATCTTTACATTTTTTTTTTTGACGTTGATGTCATCCTTACATTTTAGAATATTTTAATTGATTTTTTAAATGTAGAACTTCTTTCAAATCTACAAATATTTCAAATGAGCTGTTTTTAGTTTAAGCATTTCACTTAAAATTATTATCTTAAAAAAGGTTTTCATGCTCAAACTAGTCAAACACTTTACTACCTCAGAAAGAAATGCACAGATAACAACATCATAACACAGTGTGAGCGATGCTGTTTCAGGATAGATACGTAATTGGATTGGATCGGATTCATTCTTTTTTCCTCTGATATCTGCTCCTGTGTTTAATGCTGATAATGGCCGGATACTATAACCAAAGATACCCATATCCCATTTTCATTTGATAGTGATTTAATAGACGTTTTGAAGACTGCTGGAATGTTTCCTTTACTTAGTGAAAGAGCATTTAAGCATTTGTAGTGAAAGAAATTTGTTGACTCAGAACTGCCCAGTCGCTTCTTTTGTATGTGTGTTTTGATTTTTCCTAATTACAGAGAAATTGTCTGTGATAATCAACTGCATGCTATTGATATGACTGACAGATAGAAAATGCTGGAATATCCCCATAATATGTACCCCTATAGGGCCTGATTCAGTTCATGAAGGTCTGAAAATCTTGATAGGTCATAAATTGAAAACTATGGTGGCCCCCAGTGCAGGGACTAGAGAACTCTACATTGTGGGCATGTCACTTTCTCTCTGTTAAGGTAATCTAAATTCCTCTGGCCTAGCAGAACAGAACATATCTTTTGCTCTGTTCTGTCTGTAGGCCAGGGATGGAGAGTTTTGAGCCCAGCAGAGTCCTCTGTTCTGCTTAAGAAACATTGATATTGGAGAAAACTTGTGGATAACTTTTTTTCCTTGTTTGGAGAGTTTGGGTAAATATCAAAAGAAACCTGATACGACAGAGGTCACCTAATCCATCACTGTGTTAGACAAATTAGTCAATAACAACATCTAGGGATGGACAATGTGACCGTATAATATTGTTATGTAAACTTAAGTCACAGTAAGCTTCTGAGCATGTCATGGGTATCGTCAGTACATAAGAACACTCGCATAGTAGAGGGAGTTATGGCCAAATATTTCTGATGACTTATGTATACATACGTATATGTACGTTTTTCAAAAAAAACATTTTAGCATGCTCTAGGAAATCTATGTTTGTAAATTCACACTAAATTATTCTGGAATGTTCCTTCATTTTTAATAAGGACCACATTTAACAACTGGAGTAATTTTAAAGAACTTTTATTGCAGAAAATCATAAAAAAAAAACTTTTCTATGACTGTCAGACACTGCTGGGTTGTGGTAAATATTAGAAGTCTTTCATGCGATCAGTAGCAGAGAGTACAAGAACTTGAGACGATGGCGTCATCTGATGCAAAGAGACGTACTTGATTAACGTTACCTCAGACTACAGCTGGCTACAAAGTGGGAGATATGAACATGAGGGATTTCTGGAACGTCCCTGACTCAGCTATTCAGCTAAATGGAATAACCTTAGCATGTTTTGCACTGTGTGTATGTTGCATTATGTGTGCTTATTTGGTTTTATGAAGAATTTGGGGTGACCGGTAGCCTAGTGGTAGGAGAAGTGAGCAATCAAACCGGAGGTTTGCAGGTTCAAATCCCATGATGGTGTTGAGAGTCCAAGAAAGCAACATTAGTCCACTTTATTTGGATGTTTTTGTTTGTAGTATGTGAAACGTTTTATTAAAAATGTACTTTTGTTAGCTTTTTTTAATACCTAACATTTATGTTAAGAAACATTGGGGGGGGGGGAAAGGAAAAGAATTTGTGTAAAGTGTATCATCAAAATGTCAAGAATCATGAGGAAAAAATACCATTTACCGTGACTAATATGTGTGACAGGTTTTACATAATGAAAGTGGTCCTGTGGGTTCACACCCCAACAAACCTATTAAACAGGTATTTTAATGAGGCCTACCAGGCCAGTGCCGCAAGGGACATCATTCCAGGGCTGGTGTTATGTTGTTATGTATGGTTGGACGGATGTTTGCCCAGCCCTGTTGATGTAGCTACATAATTTATCTCAGATGTTGCTAGTAGTGTAGTGTTTGACTTTTCCTTTATGCTGATTGTGATATGGATGTAGACTTGGTTGCATTTACATTTGCTTAGTGTTTGTCTGCAGGCAACACCATCTCACTGCAGGGCCCAGTCTTGTTTGAGTTTCACTTGATCAGGTTAGAGAGCACTAAAATCAATAAATCAGCCTGCATGGTTAAAGTGCATGCGAGTGACATCATCTGTTTGCACTCCTAGCAAATGTCCTTTCTCAACACACACACTCTCTCTCTCTCTCTCTCTCTCTCTCTCTCTCTCTCTCAC